CATGGTGTGCGTCAGGGTTGTATCCTTTCACCATACTTACTCAATCTGTATGCTGAGCAAATAATCCAACAAGCTCATTACAATGAACCTACTTGAAGATGGTGGTAAAATAAACAGTCTGTATTCTCTTGGCGAGATTACTTACCTGCTGTTTTTATTCCTACCACTGGCAATGTCGATATTATGACCAAAGTAGAGATGGCACAAAAGTTTGTCACCACTGCTTTAAATGACACTGAACATGGCTCTCTGCTCTTAACGAATTAACTGCTGCCATGCGAAAGGTGGCAGTCAGAACAGAATGGCTTGGGACATGATAACAGCACTTCCTGAAAATTGAGTCTTGTATATGGAGCCCTGGTGGTATAGTGGTTAAGAACTCGGCTGCTGAACAAAAAGTCAGCAGTTTGAATCCACCATCCTCTCCTTGGAAACCCTATGGGGCAGTTCTACTCTGTCCTGTAGGGTCGCTATGAGTTGGAATCAACTTGACAGCAATGGGTTTTTGGTTTATATGTATTCCCAATAATACAGCCCTGGCGAACCACTCCCTTATTCACTTACAAACCCAGGAAGATATTATATATAACACACGGGAGATGGCACTTAGCAAAAATAAAGAGGTACTTTTTTGGATGGGGAGCCTGGTAAAAAATGTGATTTGGACTTCTTTGCATCATAATAGGTGGAATCATTTTTTGCATGTGTTTGTGTTGCTGGTGTGGTATATGTTTCCAATGTTTTAATAAGTCAGGAAAAGAGGGCCTGCTCTCGCTTCCTGCCTACCCTGTAGGCTCAGGGAATCTCACAAAAGAGGTGGGCATATGAGTTTTTAACAGCCTGGCAGGAAGGGATGGGATATGTGGAGTTTAGACATGGCTAATATGGATTTTTCTCACAAAGGACTCTGAGAGTAAACCAGAGTTGCTTATCGGGCAATAACACTGTCACACTGTATACAAACAAGACACCCCTCCATCCCAGAGCCTACAGCTCCAGATTATTTACCTTAAAAGAAAAATACATCCATTAATCAGTAGGGGAGACATTTTTCAGAAACGTTTCTAAGGACCCAGTACTTTCAAGTGTTCCCCACCCCACCTGCAGCCACATTCTGTTGTTCTGCACTCATCCTTAGGGTATATAAATTGTGGTCACAAAGAGCTCCAGGCGGATGTAACCTAGGTGAATCTTGGTGCTTTTTGGTTTCTCATAAGCTTCACAGAACTTCCATCTATATATAAGTTTCTCCCTATTAAAGGCTTTCAACCACCTGTCAGTTTGTCGTACTGTGGTAGCTTGCATGTTGCTGTGATGCTGAAAGCTATGTCACCAGTGTTTCTAATGCCAGCTGGGTCACTCATGGTGGACAGATTTCAGTGGGGCTTCCAGTCTAAGACACTGGGAAGAATGACCTCGTGATTTACTTCCAGAAAAAAAATTTAGCCAGTGAAAGCCTTATGGATTGGCAGTGGAACGCTGACTGATATAGTGCTGGAAGATGAGACCCATGATGTTGGAAGGCACTCAAAATATGACTGGGGAAGAGCTGCCACCTCAAAGTAGACGTGACTTTAATGATGTAGATGGAGTAAAGTGTTCGAGACCATCATTTGGTGATGTGGCACAACTCTAAATGAGAAGAAACAGCTGCAAATATCCATTAGAATATGAAATGTACAAAGTATGAATCAAGGAAAATTAGCAGTTGTAAAAAAGGAAATGGAATACTTGAAGATCAATATCCTAGGCATTAGTGAAGTGAAATGGACTGGTATTGGCCATTATGAATCAGAAAATCAGAGTCTACTATGGCGGGAACCACCAACTGAAGAGGCACAGCATCACATTCTATGTCAAAAAGAACATTTTAAGATCTATCCTGAAGTATACAATGCTGTCAGTGATAGGATAACCCATATATTTACAAGGAAGGCCAGTTGATAAGACTATTATTCAAATTTACACACTGACCACTAATGTCAAAGATGAAAAATTAGAAGATTTTAACCAATTTCTGCAGTCTGAAATTGATCAAATATGTGATAAAGATGCATTAATAATTGCTGGTGATTAGACTGCGAAAGTTGGAGACAAAGAAGAACAATTGGTAGTTGGAAAATACGGCCTTGGTGATAGAAACAACGCTGGAGATCACACGATAGCATTCTGCAAAACCAACGACTTATTCATTGGAAATACCTTTTTTCAACTATATTAACGGCAACTATACATGTGGATTTGCTGGAAGGAATACCCAGGAATCAGATTGACATCTGTGGAAAGAGATGACTGAGAAGGTCAGTGTCATGAGTCAGAACAAAGCTAGGGGCTGATTGCAGAACAGATCACCAATTGCTCATAAGTAAGTACAAATTAAAGCTGAAGAAAATTAAAAGAAGTCCATGAGAGCCCAAGTACAACACTGAATATATCTCGCCTGAATTTAAAGACCATCACAGTAGATTTGATGGCTGACCACTAATGACTGAAGACCAGAGGACTTGTGGGATGACATCAAGGACATCATACATGAGGAAAAAAGCAAAAGGTCATTAAAAAGAAGGAAAGAAAGACTAAACTGTCAAAAGAGACTCTGGAACTTGCCCTTGAATGCAGAGTAACTAAAGTGAATGGAAGAAATAAAGACATGAAAGAGATGAAGATAAAATTTGAAAGGGTGGCTCAAGAAGACAAAGTATTATAATGAAATGGGTAAAGACATGGAGTTAGAAAACTAAAAGGGAAGAACATGCTTGGCATTTCTCAAGCTGAGAGAACTGAAGATAAAATCCAAGACTCGAGTTGCAACTTTGAAGGATTTTCTATGGGCAAGGAAACCCTGGTGGCATAGTGGTTAAGAGCTACAGCTGCTAACCAAAAGGTCAGCAGTTCGAATCCCCCAGGCGCTCCTTGGAAACCCTATGGGGCAGTTCTACGCTGTCCTCTAGGGTGCTATGAGTCAGAATTGACTCAATGGCAACAGGTTTTTTTATGGGGCAAATATTGAACAATGCAGGAAGCATCAAAGATGATGGAAGGACTACACAGAGTCACTGTACCAAAAAGAATTGGGCAATGTTCAACCATTCCAGGAAGTAGCATATGATCAAGAACCAATAGTACTGAAGGAACAAGTCGAAGATGCATTGAAGGCATTGTTGAAAAACAAGCCTCCAGGAATTGAAGGAATACCAATTGAGAAGCTTCAACAAATGAGCGCTGGAAGTGCTCATTTGTGTATGCCAAGAAATTTGGAAGAGGGCTACTTGGCCTACCAATTGGAAGAGAACCATATTAGCACACATTCCAAAGAAAGGTGATCCAATGTAATCAAGGACATGGCTACACAAACTTCTGATAAAGAGATTAACTCTCTGATTGAAAGATCTTACCAACTACTACAGCAGAAGACACAAGGGGAAGGAGAAACAATGAATGGAAAGAACGCTGTATACCTCTTGGAACTCTGTATGCAGGAACTACATCTATTGTCCTACAAGAGAAAAGAACCATCCTATAAAGCAGAATTGTTGGAAGGAGCACAGAAGCAGAGATGCCTCAGTCTCAAAGGGTGGGGCCATGGTCTCTCGGATCTCAAAGGGTGGGGCCACAGCCTCCTGGGTTTCAAAGGATCAGATCTTCCTAACTCAGTTTCAGAGTGCGGGGCTACCATTAAGGTGTGCCAGAGGGATGTGGCTACTAGACAAAGCTGAGGGGGTGAGGCTGTCATGCCCAAGGTTCAGAAGAACAGGGCCTGCTGAGGCCGAAGGAGTGGGGTCATCACTCAAATTGAATAGAACAGAAGCACCCAAATCCAAGGAAGCAGTTGTTATTCCAGTGGGTCTGGAAGGCGGAGCTGAAGCCCAGGGCCGAGAGGCCTCTGCCTGGAAGCCAGAGAGCATGGCCAACATTCACAGTATGGAGAGCAGGGTCATTGCCTAGACGGACTCTGAGAACGGAGAATTATTTTTAAGAATTGAGAACTCATGTAAACTGTTCTCCTGGGTTTTGGACTTGCTTGGTGCCTTTTATCCTTTCACTCCAATTTCTCCCATTTGTAATGGAAATGTCTACCTTGTGCCTGTTCCACCATTGTCCTATGGAAACAGGTAACTTGTCTAGGTTTCATGGGTTCACAAATGAAGAGGTTTGTCCAAGGGTGGAATACGCCTAAAGTCTCATCTGTATTTGATTTAAATGATTCAGCAGATGAGATTTTTGGACTTGGCATTGATTTGTAACTTTTGGGATGATATGATAGGATGAATGTGTTTTATACATGGTTAGAAAATGAATTCTTGGGACCAAAGGATGGAATGTCATGGATTGAATTGCATCCCCCAAAAATATGTGTCAACATGGCTATGCTGATTCCCAGTATTGTGTGGCTGTTCTCCATTTTTTGTGATCTGATGTAATTATCCTCCATTTTGTGATGTGTTGTAAATCCTAACCTCTACGTGTTAATGAGACAGGATTAAGTTATGTTAATGAGGATTATATTGTTTGTTATATTAATGAAGCAGGATTAGAGTGGGATGCACCACCCTAAGTCAACACCCTTGTTGAGTCACTTCTACCTTAAAAACAAAAAACCTTATGCCATTGAGTTAATTCTGACTCATACTGACCCTATAGGACAGAGTAGACTGCCCTGTAGGGTTTCCAAGGAGCTGCTTGTGGATTTGAACTGTTGACCTTTTAGTTAACAGCCTGAGCTCTTGAAGAGAAAAGTGAACAGAGATGAGCGACTGCACGACCACCAGGAGAGGAGAGCCGGGAGTGGAGCTTGCCTTTTGGACCTGACGTTCCTGTGCTGAGAACCTGTTGGGCCCAAGGGAAGACTGATGCCAAGACACATGGAGATCTCCAAGGAACGCTGGGCCCAGAGATGTTGAAAGGAGACGACTTTCCCCCAAAACTGACAGAGAAAGCCTTCCCCTAGAGTTGGCACCCTGGATTCAAACTTCTAGTCCCCTAAACTGTGAGAGACTAAATTTATATTTGTTAAAGCCATTCACTTATGATATTTCTGGTATAGCAGCACTAGATAACTAAGACAATCAGACATTTCTAACAGTTAGATTCAACTATGATAATCTAGTATTGCATAAGAAGCCATCTTTTAACTTTAAGGGGAGGAAAATCACCATTATCAGCCCACAGCTGCTTCCTATGAGGTGCAGTTGAAATATACCTCCAAGCTTTTAATCAAGTCTGATACCAGAACTGCACTCTCAACTGCTCTGCTAATTTGTTGCAATGGCCACACAGAACTCACAGACCATACAATTAATGGGGTTTATTAGGAAAGTAACAGGTTACAATTCAGGAACAGCATCAACAGATAAGTAACAGGAACTCAGGATACAGTTCTTCTATTAGGACAGCTTCTTCTTGGCCTCTGCCACTGCACCCTAGTCAGGGCCTTGTTGCTGCTAGGCCCTGTTCAGGCCGAGCTTTGCCGCCAGCCTCTGCCCTGCTTCAGAAAGTCTTACAGCTCTCTGTCCATGCCAACAAGTGCCCAGAGGCAACCCACTCTGTCAGGAAGGCTCCTGCCTGAAGATGCTCAGCTCTTTTGCTCTGTTGGTCAGGAAGCGTAGCTCTGCTCACAAGTGCCTGGATTCACCCCCATCCTGCCAGTGAGCATCCTGCCCGAAGGCACACAGCTCTCTCTGTTGATCTGCAAGCCCACTGTGCTGTCTTTGCCAGTCTCCTGGTTCTGCTACTGCCCATTTCTCTGCTGTGCTTGCTGCCACATCTCACTATCTCATGTCCTTCCTCCTACAGTGTTAAGCTGTATCTCCCGGGTCTAGGATGTTCTCAGTATAGGGACCCCAAGTCTAAAGGATGTACTCTGCTCCTGGCCAGTCTTGATGAGAGTGAGGCCCCCCAATCCCTCTCTGGAATTGGCTCTTTTTTAAACCTAGTGTGGATGGCAAAACTGATCAATCCTCTAAAAAGGTTCCATGCACCTTATTTGCATGGCCCCACCGAATCATTTTGTGGGAGTTACAAGACCATGGTTAGAAGGGCCATATGATAATAATTCACTGCATTGCAGGTTCTCTCCACTATGAGATCTTATATGGTCAGTGAGGTGTGAGAACTGACTAAAGGCTTTCTCACATTCTTTACTATCATAAGGCCTATTTCCATGGTAAGTTCGAACATGTTTACGGAAGGATGAGAAACAACTAAAGGCTTTCACACATTCCTTACATTCATAAGGCTTCTCTCCACTGTGAGATCTTACATGGTCAGTAAGGTGTGAGGACCGAAAAAAGGCCTTCCCACATTCCTTACACTCATAAGGCCTCTCCCCACTGTGTGTCCTTATATGGGTAGTGAGGTGTGAGGACCGAATAAAAGCTTTCCCACATTCTTTACATTCATAAGGCCTGTATCCATTGTGAGCTCTTATATGGCCAGTGAGATATGAAAACTGACTAAAGGATTTTCCACATTCCTTACATTCATAAGGTTTCTCTCCACTGTGAACTCGTACATGTCTGGTGAGTTGTGCAAACTGCTTAAAGGCTTTCCCACATTCTTTACATTCGTAAGGCCTCTCTTCACTGTGCGTTCTTATATGGGTAGTGAGTTGTGTAAACTGCTTAAAGGCTTTCCCACATTGTTTACATTCATAAGGTCTCTCTTCACTGTGCGTTCTTATATGGGTAGTGAGGTGTGAGGACCGACTAAAGGCTTTTCCACATTGTTTACATTCGTAAGGCCTCTCTCCACTGTGAGATCTTATATGTGTAGTGAGAGATGAGGAACAACTAAAGGCTTTTCCACATTCCTTACATTCATAAGGCCTCTCTCCACTGTGAGTTCGCATATGTGTAGTGAGGGATGAGGAACAAGTAAAGGCTTTGCCACATTCCTTACATTCATAAGGCCTCTCTCCACTGTGAGTTCTTATATGTGTAGCGAGGGATGAGGAACAACTAAAGGCTTTCCCACATTCCTTACATTCATAAGGCCTCTCTCCACTGTGAGTTCTTATATGTCTAATGAGGCTTGAAAGATAACTAAAGGCTTTCCCACACTCCTTACATTCATAAGGCCTCTCTCCATTGTGAGTTCTCAGATGACTAGTGAGGGATAAGGAACAACTACAAGGTTTCCCATAATCCTTACATTTACAAAGTTTCTCTCTCAATCGAGGTTTTAGGTAAGGACACCTGCAATCTTCTCCACATTCCTTACAATGATAAGGTTTGTATCCAGTGTGAGATCTGATGTGATGCTTAAATGATGAATTATCCATGAAGGCTTTTCCACACTCAAGGCATTCAAAAGGATTTCCTTCAGTTCTTTTGAGACTAGTAAGATTTCCAATTGAGGTGAAAGTTTTTCCACACTGATTACCTTCTTCACCTTTATTTACTTTGCCATCTTTACTTTCACAGAGGCTCTCTACTGTAAATATTCTGTTAAAAATAGAAAGCAGGTTGTTAGAATTTGTTACCATTTCACAATTACCATACACAGTGAATGTGTGTTTTCTGCCCTGAGTTGTCTCCTGTTGCATAGGTTTAATCATCTCACAGAATGCGCTACCATTCAGTCACAGTGTTTCTAAACAATGCAGCATTCTGATAATTAAGTACAAGTGAAATATGTTTGAGATACTCAATATCTGATTCACATTAATGGAAATACTGTGTTGTTAAAATTATATGAACACACCATTTTAGAGCTAGTTTTACACACACACACACAAATGTCATCACATCTTATGACTCTCCTGAAGCATTGTTCACTGTCATGTGAATAATACTCACCTCACATGCCTTCCCTGATTGTTGTACTGATGCTCAATGCCATGGAATTCACAAATTTTTCCCAACATGGAGGATGAGGAGTCATTCTTCATGAACGTTTGTCCATTATCATCCTGTTTAAAAACTGACCAAATAATTTTAAGTGAAGTTTCACAAGATGAAACAAAACAGTAAAGACATGAGGAAGAAGGCATGTGTGAAGAAAGACTGACTTTGAGGCATTTGGCTGTTATAGGACTTTGGCAGTGGTAAAAAGAGTAAGAAATTTACTAAAAAACATTTCCATGACAATTGAGAACAATAGTGAACTAAGTAGAATGTAATTAGGAAAACAAAATAAAAAGGTACTGCAAACAATGCGTGTGAGTAAACATGATATTAAAAGAGAAAATGGGGAAGGTCTTTTCCCACAAATACAGAAGGCACAAGAGGATTGATGAAAAATCAAAAAAGTCAGCTCATATGTGTGTAAGTTCCATCTCCTCATAGCAAAAGATTGTTTTGAGCTGATTTCCTCAAATATAATATCATCCCAAAACAGCTGGTCCTTCAAATGATTGTTGCCTTCCTGATGCTTCCTGACACTACAGCCCTGGATAAGTCCTATATCCACTTTCCAATTTCCCTTGCTTTTCAGGGAAAAAAATTAGCATGGCTGATATGGTGCTCATGAAGACAGATAATGGGAATAACAAGCAAGCACATTTCCCTGATGCTGAGCCAGTACTTTGCTCATCATGATCTCTATAGATGGACAGGTGTGAGTTTATTTTTAGCAAAATGATTTCATCAAATTTTTAATAAACATGGTAAAACACTAACGAGGTCCTAAACCACAAATCTCTCTTTGCTACAAAGTGATCCCTGAAGCCAATGCTCACACTTATAACACTTAAAGAGCCTCAAGCCTTTTAACAAGATAGCGTCAATTTAAAAATAGATTTTTACTTTCATGGGGAAGTCCCTAGAGTCTAAGCCTCATGAAGGCAGTCAAAACGTGTCATATTTGCCAATGTACTCCAATTCTTTAACCCAAATCCTATAAAAAGGTCGATGAGTAGAATATTTATTCACTAGATAAGTAAATAAGAAAAATGAAGCCATCTGTACCTGAGTCTAGGTTCCTGAAGGTTTCCATCATCACATCTCTATAGAGTTTCCTCTGAGAAAAATCCAGCAAAGCCCACTCTTCCTGGGTAAATTCCACAGCCACATCCTCAAAGACCACTGCATCCTAAAACATTATACATATTCTAAATCAGCAAGGTACCATCTTCCCCAATGTGTGCAAAAGGATGAGTGACTCTGACAGTCCTGAAGAATTGAGAATTCATAGGGAGGTCACACAAGGTTCTGTGTTCTACTCTGGAATTTGGCCATCAGTCTCATCCCTTCACTTTTCCTCCAGACTATTGACATCTTATCTCAAAGATTTAAAAATATTTCACACACACTGAACTTCTCTCTCCTCAGTTTGTCTATGACCTATCCAGTCTTCTTCTTCTCTATATTTATGGTTCAGAATGGGCAGAAAACAGAGCAGAAGAGAAAGAAATCTTCTATGAATGAAAGAGCTATGTCCACATTCAGATAATTTCTCTGTGGAGAAAAATCAAATTCACCTCCTTTCCTAAGACCCACCAGAAAACACAACAAACATGAAGCACAGGGTGAAAGCAAGATGAGCTATTAATAACTGGGAAAGAGGGAGGAACGAGCTACTTTTCCCATTGATTGAATAGTCAACACGAGCATCAGAACCAGACTCAGATATAGCAGAGATTTTGGTATTAACAGACTGGGAATTTAATACAACTATGATCATATAAAAAAGGCTTCCAATTGAAAAAGTAGACCACATGCAGGAAAAGATAGGTAATGTAAGCAGAGAGATGGAAACTCTAAGAAAAATCAACAGGAAATCCTAGAAATCAAAACCACTGTAATAGAAACGAACAATGCCTTCAATGGGATAAGCAATAGATTGGACACGGCCAAGGGAAAATAATATGTGTAATGAGAATACCAGGAGGAAAGAAATTAAATATTTGAAGGATGGTGAAAATTTTTACAAAATTAATGAAAAACTCCAAACCACAGATAAGAAGTTCAGAGAGTACCAGACACAATATTTACAAAAAATTTACACCTAGACATATCACATTTAAACTGTAGAAAAATAAAACAAGAAAGAAAATCAAAAAGAAGTCACACAAAAAACACATCTATAAAGGAGGAAGATTAAGTACAGCTGACTTATCTTCAGAAGCTATGCAAGCAAGACTGTAGAATAAAATATTAAAGGGTTGAATGAAAAAACAATCAATCTAGAAATCTGCATCTAGCAAAATTATCTTTTTTTAAAAGTGAAGGAAAAATATAGGCATTTTCAGACAAGCAAATATTGAGGGAATTTTTGGAGGTATACCTATATTACAAAAACTGTTAAAGGAAGGTCTTCATAGAAGAGAAGTAAAATTACATACATCAGAAACTCGGATGTGTAAAAAGGATGGAAGAGCACTAGAGAAAAAAAATGAAGGTAAAATAAAATATTTTATCTTTCTTATTCTTAATCTAACTGACAATAGTTTGTTAAAAATAACAAGTCACAAAAGAATCAGTGATTATACCGTATGTTGTTGTTAGATGCCTTTGCGTTGGTTCCAACTCACAGTGATCCCATGCACAACAGAATGAAACACTGCCTGGTCATGTGCTACTCTCATGATGGTTGTTATGCTTGAGCCCACTGTTGCAGCCAATGCTTCAATTCATCTCCTTGAGGGTCTTCCTTTTTTTTAAATTGTGCTTTAGGTGAAAGTTTACAACCCAGTTTAGTTTCTCATACAAAGATTTACACACATATGTGACCCTAGTCGCTATCCCTATAATGTGACAGCACAATCCCCCCTTCCACCCTGGACTTCCTTTGTCCATTCAACCAGCTCCTATCCCTTTCTGCCTTCTCATCTCACCTCCAGATAGGAGCTGCATGTTTAGTCTCACACAGCTACTTAAACTGAGAAGCACACTCTTCACAAGTATTATTTTATGTTTTATAGTTCAGTCTAATCTTTGTCTGAAGACTTGGCTTCAGGAATGGTTTTAGTTCTGCATTAACAGACAGCTTGGGGGCTATGTCTTCTGGGATTCCCATAGTCTCAGTCAGAACATTAAAGTCTGGTGTTTTTACATGAATTTGAGTTTTTCACCCGACTTTTCTCCTGCTTCATCAGGGACTCTCTGTTGTGTTACCTGTCAGGGCAGTCATCGGTGATACCTAGGCACCATCTAGTTCTTCTGGTCTCAGACTGATGGAGCCTCTGGTTTATGCGGCCCCTTTTGTCTTTTGGGCTAATATTTTCCTTCTGACTTTGGTGTTCTTCATTCTCTTTTGCTCCAGGTGGGTTGGGACCAGATGATGAATCTTAGATGGCTGCTGAATAGCTTTTAAGACCCTAGATGCCACTCATCAAAGTGGGATGCAGAACATTTTCTTAATAAACTTTATGTCTATTGACATACATGTCACCTGAAAATATGGTCCCCAGACCCCCCCTCCCCCCGTTACTCTATCCCTCAAAGTGTTCGGTTGTGTTCAAGAAAATTCTTAGCTTTTTTTAGTCCAGTTGTGCTGATTTCCCCTGTATGTTGTCCTTCCCTTCACCTAAGATAATTCTTGTCTACTAGTTAGTGAACTCACTTTTCCCTCCCACCCCAACTCTCGTAACCTTCAAAGAATGATTTCTTCTGTTTAAACCTTTTTTTGAGTTCTTATAATAGTAGTCTCATACAATATTTGTCCTTTTACCAGTGATTAATTTCACTCAGCATAATGCCTTCCAGATTCATCCATGTTGTGAGATGTTTCTCGGATTCATCATTGTTCTTTATCATTGCATTGTGTATTCCACTGTGTGAATCTACCATAATCTGTTTATCCATTCATCTGCTGATGGGCACCTACGTAGCTTCCATCTTTTTGCTATTGTGAACAGTGCTGCAACGAACGTGATGGCTCTTATTTCTCTAGGATATATTCCAAGGAGCGGGACTGCTGGATCATATGGTACTTCTATTTCTAGCTTTTTAAGGAAGCACCAAATCGATTTCCAAAGTGTCTGTACCATTTTACATTCCCACCAACAGTGTATAAGTGTTCCAGTCTCTCCACAACCTCTCCAACATTCATTATTTTGTGTTTTTTGGATTAATGCTAGGCTTGTTGGGGCGAGGTGGTATCTCATTGTAGTTTTGATTTGCATTTCTCTAATGGCTAATCATTGTGAGCATTTCCTCATGTATCTGTTAGCCACCTGAATATCTTCTTTGGCGAAGTGCCTGTTCATATCCTTTGTCCATTTTTTAATTGGGTTATTTGTCTTTCTGTTGTTGAGGTTTTGCAGTATCTTGTAGATTTTAGAGATTAGACACTGATCATATTTGTCATAGCTAAAATTTTTTTTCCAGTCTGTAGGTTGTCTTTTGACTCTTTCAGTGAAGTCTTGTGATGAGCATAAGTGTTCAATTTTTAGGAGCTCCCAGTTATCTCTTCTGGTGTTTGTGCATTGTTAGTTATATTTTGTATTCTGTTTATGGCCTGTATTAGGGCTCCTAGTGTTGTCCCTATTTTTTCTTCCATGATCTTTATCGTTTTAGATTTTATATTTAGGTCATTGATCCATTTTGAGTTAGTTTTTCTGCATGGTGTGAAGTATGGGTCTTGTTTCAGTGTTTTGCAGGTGGATATCCAGTTATGCCAGCACCATTTGTTAAAGAGATTGTCTTTTCCCCAGTTAATGGACTTTGGGTCTTTGTCAAATATCGGCTGCTCATAAGTGGATGAATTTATGTCTGGCTTCTCAATTCTGTTCCATTGGTCTATGTATCTGTTGTTGTATTGGTACCAGGCTGTTTTGACTACCATGGCAGTACAATAGGTTCTAAAATCAGGTAGTGTGAGGCCTCCCACTTTGTTCTTCCTCTTCAATAATGCTTTATTTATCCGGGGCCTCTTCCCTTTCCTATGAAGTTGGTGATTTGTTTCTCCATCTCGTCAAAAGTGTCATTGGAATTTGGTCTCTTTTGGTTTCTCGCAGTAGTGTCTTGTAGTTTTCTATCAGTCTTTTACAGCTCTGGTTAGATTCATTCCTAAGTATTTTATCTTCCTGGGGGCTACTGTAAATTATATTGATTTGGTGATTTCCTTTTCAAAGTTCTCTTTGTTGGTGTAGAGGAATCCAACTGATTTTTTATGTTTACCTTGCATCCTGATACTTTGCTGAAATTTGTTAGTTCCAGTAGTTTTCTTGTGGATTTTTTTGGGGTTTTCTGTGTATAAGATCATATCATCTGCAAACAGGGATACTTTCACTACTTCCTTACCAATCTGGATGCACTTCCTTTTTCTTCCCTTATTGCTCTGGCTAGGACCTCCAGCACAATGTTGAATCACAGTGGTGATAAAGGGCATCCTCGGTTCCTGTTCTTAAGGGGAATGCTTTCAGACTCTCAGTTTCAGATGAAATTGGCTGTTGGCTTTGTATATATGCCCTTTATTATGTTGAGGAATTTCCCTTGTATTCCTATTTTGCTGAGAGTTTTTATTATGAATGGGTGTTGGACTTTGTCAAATGCCACTTCTGCAGCAACTGATAAAATCATGTGATTCTTATCTTTTGTTTTATTTATGTGATGATTACACTGATTGTTTCTGTAATGTTGAACCACCCCCGCATACCTGCTATAAATCCCACTTGATCATGGTGGATTATTTTTTTGATATGTTGTCGAAATCTACTGGCTAGAATTTTGTTGAGAATTTTTGCGCCAATGTTCATGAGAGATATTGTCTGTAATTTTCTTTTTGTGCGATGTCTTTACCCTGTTTTGGTATCAGGATTATGCTGACTTCATAGAATGAGTTCAGGAATATTCCATCCTTTTCTATGCTCTGAAGTTCCTTTAGTAGTAGTGGTGTTAACTCTTCTCTGAAAGTTTGGTAGAATTCTCCAGTGAAGCTGTCAGGGTCAGGGCTTTTTTTTTGTTGTTGTTGGGAGTTTTAAAATTACCTCTTCAATGTCTTCTTTCGTTACAGTTTTTTTTAGTTGTTTTACCTCTGTGTTATTTTAGGTAGGTAGTGTGTTTCTAGAAATTTGTTCATTTCCTCTAGGTTTTCAAATTTGTTAGAGTACAATTTTTCATAGTATTCTGTTATGATTCTTTTCATTTCAGTTGGGTCTGTTCTGATACTGGGGAGTCTTCCTCTTTACGCTGACCATCTATTTTACCAGGCTTGATGTTTTTCTCCAGGGATTGTTCCCTCCTGATAACATGTCCACGATATGTGAGACAAAGTTCCACTATCCTCTCTTCTAAGGAGCATTCTGGCTGTCTTCTTGCAAGACACATTTGTTCCCTCTTTTGGCAGTCCGTGGTATATTCAATATTCTGCACCAACACCATAATTCAAAGGTGTCAATTCTTCTTCAGTCTTCCTTATTCGCTGCCCAACTTTTACATGCACATGAGGTGATTGAAACTTTGGGTCAGGCACAACTTAGTCTTCAAGGTGACATCTTTGCTTTTGAACACTTTAAAAGAGGTCTTTGCAGCAGACTTTCCCAGTGCAATGCATCCTTCGATTTCTTGACTGCTGCTTCCATGGGTGTTGATTATGGATGCAAGTAAAATGAAATCCTTGACAACTTCAATCTTTTCTCCATTTATCATGATGTTGGTTAATGGTCCAGTTGTGAGGATTTTGGTTTTATGTTGAGGGGTAATCCACACTGAAGGCTGTTGTCCTTGATAGTCACCACTAAGTGCTTCAAGTCCTCTTCATTTTCACAAGCAAGGTTGCATCATCTGTATATTGCAGGTTGTTAATAAGTTTACTTCCAATACTGATGCCCTGTTCTTCATATAGTCCTCTTTTTCACTGACCCTCTACTTTACCAAGCATGATGTCCTTCTCTATGGACTGATCCCCCCTTATAATACGTATAAAGTATGTGAGACATAATCTCATCATCCTTGCTTCTAAGGAGCATTCTGGTTGTACTTCTTCCAAGACAGATTTATTCATTCTTTTGGCAGCCCATGGTATAGTCAATATTATTTGCCAACACCACTATTCAAAGGCATCAATTCTTTGGTGTTCCTTATTTATTGTCCAGCTTCTGCATGCATATGAGGTGATGGAAAACACCATGGCTTGGGTCAGACGCACCTTAGTTCTTAAAGTGACATCTTTGCTTTTTTTTTTTTTTTTTTAACACTTTAAAGAGATCTTTTGCAGCAAATTTGCCCAATGCGATGCATCTTTTGATTTCTTGACTGCTGCTTCCGTGAGTTGATTGTAGTTCCGAGTAAAATGAAATCCTTGACAACGTCAATCTTTTCTCCATTGACCATGATGTTGCTTACTTGGCCCAGTTGTGAGGATTTTTGTTTTCTTTATGTTGAACTGTAATCCATACTAAAGTCTGTGGTCTTTGATCTTCATCAGTTAAGTGCTTCGAGTCCTCTTCATTTTCAGAAAGGAAGCTTGCGTCATCTGCATAATGCAGGTTGTTAATGAGTCTTCCTCCAATCCTGATGCCCCATTCTCCTTCATAAAGTCCAGCTTTTCGGATTATTTGCTCAGCATACAAACTGAATAAGTTTGGTGAAAAGATACAACCCTGACACACACCTTTCTTGACTTTAAACCACACAGTATCC